GGGGGCTAATAAAAGCAATGATGGAGACTTTCTTTTGCCCCTAGGGTGAATTGGTCTGACTTTGACCAGAAGTCCAGACCTGAAAGATGGCCTTTGTTGAATGCCTTGCGCAAACTTTTCAAAGCATGGTACATTGAATCCTAAAGATCTAGAATATAGAGATCTTTTCTTTTTTTTACTTATTTGTTTTTGGCTGCGTTGGGTGTTTGTCGCCGCGTGAGCGGGGGCTACTCTTTGTTGCGGTGCGTGGGTTTATCATTGCGGTGGCTTCTCTTGTTGCAGAGCATGGGCTCTAGGCGCACGGGCTTCAGTAGTTGTGGCTCGCGGGCTCTAGAGCGCAGGCTCAGTAGTTGTGGCGCACGGGTTTCGTTGCTCCACGGCGTGTGGGATCTTCCCGGACCAGGGCTCGAACCTGTGTCCCCTGAATTGGCAGGCAGATTCTTAACCACTGCGCCATCAGGGAAGCCCCTATAGAAATCTTTTGATTTCCAGTTTAGTTGGAAATATTCTAACTGATATAAAGGAGCAAATTAAAGAAAATGTAGTTGGACAAATCAATCTTTTGATATCATTTAGGTGGCAACCCAGTTCCTTTGGGAATGAAAAGCAACAGTCCTTGTCTTACAAATCTCTACAAATCAGAAATGTAAATACAGCCCATAATGGCCTGAGACTGAGCCCAGTTAACTCTATCAGGTAGAACCTGAAACCAAAGGAGAAAAAAGGGAAAAGAAGTCTTTTAAAACTCAAACTGCTGGAAAGGCTCTCTCATCTAAAATCTAATTCACAGCCTCTTTAAGGATTTGTCAAGGACGAAGATAAATCTTAAAATGTTTTCTGCAAATAGTAAAAAGCCTTAGCCACTTGAGCAGATAACTTATTCCAACTGGTATTTATAAACTAGTAAGTTTTATATTGTAATACCTGGTTCATGACTAAGTTTTAAAATGAAGCTATGAGATCTCTGGTTATCTGTTTGTCATAGGTATGTTACAGCTATGTCTCTACCTGTGGATGGTGTAACCAGATTGGGTAGAAGTCCCTGGAGAAAGAGAACTGGGAAGACTTTCTTGACATAAGGAAGCCATTTTTTGGCCTAAGCCATTTTGTGATCTAAGGCTGGCCACAACGTGTTCCCTTGAACAGCTCTCAGTAATAATGGTCTTAAGGGCGAACTTATCAGACAAGAGAAGTAACAATTGCAAAGATAATGAATCAGGTGTAAAGACTCCCAGTTCTATTTCAATGGTAGGAATTAGCCTAAAGTACTGTCTTGAGCTGTTTTGCAGAATTTAAACCCTCCCCCGTAGGGTGCTCAACCACCAGATCAACAGGAACCTAAGGGATGACGATGTTGCCTTTTCTGACCCTCATGACTTCAGTCAACTGAAGCTTGAACTCTGTCCACTGCTCAAGCCCCCTGCATGAATACACATGTACCTTTAGCTTAAAAATTCCCCACTTTTGCTTTTCCGGAAGAAACTGCTTTGGGAAGATCGCCGGTGTTCTCCCTAGTTGCTGCAAGTAGCAAATCCTTCCTTCTTCTCTCTCTAGCTGCTGCACTATGACCTTGCTAATGGTGCTAGCTAGCTATCTTACTTATATCTTGCCCATTTTATGATTCTTATTTCTTGTATTACCTGATGGATAACCAGTTCTCTGATGACTAAATGCCTTGAGACAATTAATCACATACGTAGCTCTCTAGAAAATTAATTGTAGTAGTATAACTCTAGATATGGGAAGAAGCAACAAGGGAGAAACATTTCCTGGATCATAATAGACTAGTAAGATAGATGATACAGAGAAGTTTTAGGTTATTAACAGGGTCTAATCCAGACATAGCACATGAATGGCCTACCAATGGAATCCTCACTTGACCTAGGAATGACACTTCCTAGAACCATGGGACAAATTGGTCATGAAATGCCTCTCAAACCTTGGTTGAACTTATGACCAAAATGGGGGTAGACTGTAACCAAAAAAACAAAAAAACAAACAAAAAAAGAAACAGAGTGTTCTTCACCATCCAGTTATACCAAAGGTTAAACTGAAACCCACTGCAGTCGCCCACCAACAGTGTGCCCTGAGGGGAGTTCATGATGGAAAAAACAGGATGAGGCATTCTGTGCTTTGGATAAATGAGTCCCTAGACAGTTGAGATGCATACCTCAGGAATAATTCCAACGAGCCATACATAGAAAAGCACCAAAATCATTGAGATATCTGTTCTTCCTGGTCAGCACTAATCTTTTACTGAGATGTGTGCTTGACTATGTTTTTTCATAGCCAAAAAAATCATTATATATATATTGGCACCTCCTCCACCTCTGCAGAGCAGTTCCTCAGAGCAATCTGAGACACTGTTTCCCAGGCTATAGTCCTCAGTAATGTCCTTCAGTAACACTAAACTCATAACTCTTTGGTTATTTTTTTCTTTAAATTGACAAGTCAAAACTAAACCATATTGCAGATAAAATCAGAATAAGAAAATGATTTCCAGAAAATTCAGTGGTTCCCTTTGGTGGGGAAGGAAGGTTGTGTAGGAGAAAGGGCATGGGATGGGGTGGGGAGGACGAAGGCCACATTCCATTTCCTGATTTGGGTGGTGGTTATTTTATTTTATTTTTAGAAGATAGAATTATATATATATGTATTTTATTTTTCTTTTTCTTTGGCTGCGTTGGGTCTTCGTTGCTTCATCTTTCTCTAGTTGCGGTGAGCAGGGGCCACTCTTCATTGTGTTGTGCGGGCTTCTCATTGCAGTGGCTTCTCTTGTTGCAGAGCACAGGCTTCAGTAGTTGTAACATGCGGGTTTCAGTAGTTGTGGCACACAGGCTCAGTAGTTGTGGCTCGCAGGCTCTAGAGTGCAGGCTCGGTAGTTGTGGCCATGGGCTTAGTTGCTCTGTGGCATGTGGGATCTTCCCGGACCAGGGCTTGAACCCGTGTCCTCTGCATTGGCAGGTGGACTCTTAACCACTGTGTCACCAGGGAAGTCCCAACACCCCAGTGTTCATAGCAGCATTATTTACAATAGCCAAGACATGGAAGCAACCTAAATATCCATCATCAACAAGTGAATGGATAAAGAAGATGTGGTACATATATACGATGGAATATTACTCAGCCGTAAAAAAGAATGAAATAATGCCATTTGCAGCAACATGGATGCACCTAGAGATTATCATACTGAGTGAAGTAAGACAGGGAAAGACAAATATCATATGATATCACTTACATGTGGAATCTAAAGATACAAATGAATTTACTTACAAAAGAACAATAGATTCACAGACATAGAAAATGAACTTACAGTTACCAAAGGGGAAAGTGAGGGGAGGGATAAATTAGGAGTTTGGGATTAAGACATATACACTACTATATATAAAACAGATAAACAACAAGGACTTACTGTATAGCACAGGGAACTATATTCAATATCTTATAATAACCTATAAGGAAAATGAATCTGAAAAGAATATATACATATATTTATGTAAAATGTAATGTATATAATATATATATAACTGAATCACTTTGCTTTACACCTGAACCTAACACAACATTGTAAATCAACTATACTTCAATTAAAAAAAAAGAAAAAAATGTATTAAAAAAATTAAATAAACAATAGTACTGAGGCTTCCCTGGTTGCAGAGTGGTTAAGAATCCGCCTGCCAATGCAGCGGACACGGGTTTGAGCCCTGGTCCAGGAAGATCCCACATACCACAGAGGAACTAAGCCAGTGAGCCACAAGTACTGAGCCTGCGCGCCTAGAGCCCGTGCTCCACAACAAGAGAAGCCACTGCAATGAGAAGCCTGCGCACCGCAACAAAGAGTAGCCCCCGCTCACCGCAACTAGAGAAAGCCCGCGTGCAGCAACGAAGACCCAATGCAGCCAAAAATAAATTAATTAATTAATTAAACAATAGTACTGATCTTGAAGAGGTAGCAGTGAGTGGTGGCGTGAAGTGAGATCTTAGTTCCCTGCTCAGGAATTGAACCTGGGTAGCCTGGATGAAATCCAGGAATCCTAGCCACTAGACCAGCTTAGGGCTAGAGGCTAGAGGCAAATTTTCCCTGGCCCTTGCCCCCAGTGCAAAATGCATTTCTCAAGGAGGCCAAAACTGTAAAAAACAGGTACAAAGTTTATTATTAGAGACACAGCACAACAGCACAACGAGTGGGAGAGCACACAGAAACAGTTTGTTAAGAGAGAAGCAAGGCAGAGATGCACACCCGGAGGGCAAGGGTGTGGGCGTCCTCCCTAACGAGGAGCGCAGGAAGGAGGCGGTTAAGTCATTTATACAGGGCAGTTCTTCCAGGTCTATGTTTACCTTTGGCCAATTATCTGGTTTCTTTTCCACACCTGACCTGCGCTAGGACACTCCCCAATACTCATGCGCAACTTTTTCCCAAGATGGATTCCAGCCCAGAGGCCTATGGGACGGCCTTGGCATTCCATATTATGGGGTGGTGCCCCCTCCTTTCTGCCCAAGGAGCGTTTCTGCGCATGTGCAATGTCTCCCTTGCCCCAAGGATGGGAAATATATGACCTCTTGATCTTTACTCAAATAGGGTTTAGCCCCTCTCTGTTCCTGCCTTAAAGTGTCCACAGGAGACAAAGCGGGCTATTTACCCTGTTTCTGTTCTTATTTCTATTTCAAAGTGCAAACAGGAGGCTGGTTGTAAATATCTAACCTGGAGCCCACCTATCTCCTGTCTCAGGAAATGCAAACAGGAAGCTAGTTGCAAGTGTCCCGCCTGAAGCCCATCTTTTTCTCACCCCAAGAAATGTAAACAGGAGGCCATTTGTAAATGCCTAGCCTGGAGCCCATCTATCTCCTGCCTCAGTACAAGTAAGCTTGTGGCCATGGCAAACACTCATTAAGGTGATACACGAGGAATTCCCTGGTGGTCCAGGGGTTAGGACTTGGCACTTTCACTGCCAGGTCCCAGGTTTGATCCCTGGTCAGGGAACTAAAATCCCGCAAGCTACGTAGTGTGGGAGAAAAAAAAAAAGGTGATATATGAAAAGCTTTAGCTTTGAGAAATGTTGATTGAAAGAAATCAGTAGATTTTGGGCCTGGGCTCATTCAATTTCCACCACTTATTATGGGTATTCTCTGGTACCTAACCTCTTCAAGTCTTAATTCCTTCATCTGCAAAATGGGAAAAATAATAGTACCTGTGTCACAGGGCTGTTAGCATGGGGCCTGGTGCAGAAGCAATTCTGGAGGTGGGGTAGGGGTGAAACCCTAACCTTAAGGCAGGACTTAATATCCTTAAGGCATGTTTGCAAGCTGAGTGTTTGAAAGCCAAACAAATGGCCAAATATTAAAGCAGCTCATTTCCAGAAAACAAATATTTTACAGTATTTCCTAATCAAGGTCCGTGTAGACTGCTTCCCTCTGACCCATTCCAGCTACCAGGGAGGGACATCCAGGCACTTCCTTTCCACAGGGGAACTTGGGTCAGGTGCCTGGGGTGGGGAGAGGAAAGGGGGCCGCTCTACCACCAAGGCAAGAGACAGACCAGCCCCCGCTCTCGCACAGTTCCTGGGGAGGACTCTCAATGACTGTGGAGCCCCGTATGCAGTACTGAGCTCTGGCTCAGCCTGTCAGAGGCTGGGGTACAGCAGAGCCCTGGGCAGAAGGGAGGCTCAGCCAGGCAGTTGGCAGAGGCCAGGCCTCTGCTCTGTCCTGGGGTGGTAGTATGGTAGTAGCTGTTGCATATGAAACACAACTCCCAGGCCGAAAGGTGGTTTGGGCATCAATATATAATGTGTGGAAATGAAAGCCTAAGAAAGTCAAGAGCTTCCCAGGGAATTCCCTGGCAGTCCAGTAGTTGGAATCCCTGGTCGAGGAACTAAGATCCCACAAGCTGCGAGGTGCAGCCCAAAAAAAAAAAAAAAAAGTCAAGAACCTCCTGTAACTCAGGAGTGAAAATAATTTCCCGTTTATTTTGTATCATAAGAGCGAGGAGGACAATTTTATTCCAACAGTACCTTGTGTCGTTTGAAAATCTATTAAGGTAAAATGTGCTAAAGGAGAGTTTCTGTTTCATGTTCTGTTTTGCACTTGTTTCTGTTGCTTTTTCAGTATTTGGCTGACGGCTTTCCAGAACTGAGCAAGGTACAATTTAAGAACGTTAAAGAATCAATGCAATTCATGAACCTGGTTAAGTAAAATAACTTTTTAAGGCACTTCCCCGGTGGTTAAGACTCAGCACTTCCACTTCAGGGGGCACAGGTATGATCCCTGGTCGGGAAACTAAGATCCCACATGCTGCATGGTGTGGCCAAATAAATAAATAAATAATAACTTTAAAAAGTAAAATATTTAAATGTATTTCCCCCCTAAAGTGGCTTCCTACATATTAAAAATCCCCAAACCACAAAAACCCATAAAAAGACAAGGTTCAAAGAGATTATCCTGCCATACTAGGTTATGTGCAGGTGCTGAAGACACCCTCCTCCATCTCCAGAGCCTTCTCTGTTGTGAAAGGCATCTTCCTCCTTCCATTCACCAGGCCTCAAATCTTTAATCTGCTTCAACACCTAACCCACACCCCCCAACTCCAAATAACCCTGCAATCCGGGATTCAGACCCACGAACTCCTCCAGGAAGGGCCTGAGGCTCAGCTCGTCTGCGGAGCCGCCACACCTGGGCCGGCAGCCTCACCTGCAGGCTGCTTCCTGCCTGGCTGGCACCTCACCCTGGACGCCCAAGCCTGGGCTCAGACACAGAATAAACAAGGCCCCCTAGGGGCTCCACTGAGGCAACCGGGACTCGTCACCCCCAAGACTGTTACCTGAGTCTTTAAGTAAAAAACCTTAGGCAGCATTTTAGCTGAGTGGGAATATCAGGTCGTGTCAGCAGGAATTTTATCTTAGTTGCTGGAATAATGGACTGTTTCATACACCCATCGCTGAGTGCACAAGAAGCCTTTTAAACCAATTGTAGATCCATTCCTGCTAAGCAAAAAGAAAGAAAAAAAGGGAAAAAAATTTTGTTTTTAGTTTTAGTTTTTATCCAAGTTATACATTAATGTAGTTTAAAGTATCAAATAGATCCATAAGGTTTGTTACAATAAAACAAAACAGCAGGTTCCTGTCTCCCTCACTGCAGTTTCCCATCTCCGAGGCAAACATTTTCCCCCTCTTAGATTTTAATTTTGATATTTACCTTTGTTTCTAAATCACATACTTCTTCATTTTTCAATTTTAAGCTATATTTATTGCTATATTCTGTTGATATCCTGCATTTTATGGTTGTGTAATGAACCATCCCAAAACAAACTTAAACAACAATAGTTTCTTTGATCACAAACTTGTAATTTGGGCAGGGTTTGAAGGGAACACTTTGTGTTTACTCTGGGACACTTTAGTCGGGGTGGCTGGACAGGACAAGGGGCCAGAACAGGTAGAGTCCTTGAAACCAAGTCTCCCTAAAACTGAGTTCCGCTGCCGAGTTTATGATGAACGTCTCTATCCAAAACTTTATTCCCCTTCTCGTCCTGTCCCTGTTCCCCTCAGGATTGAGGAGGATCAAAGAAAAGGGGGAACTGAAACTGAGCAGGACCCACGAGGCCTTTCTGGGTACAAAAGCCCCGCTGTGCCCCCCATCTCTTGTTTGTAGGAATAAAGTCGCCTAGGCCTTCCCTGAGTTCCAAAGAACAGACACAAGTGGTTACTCATTAGAGAAGTGAGGGAATGCAGAAACAGAGGAAAGCCCTCAAGCAAGAAAAAGAATAGCTTAGACAATAGAGTCACAGGACGTCTAGTTCCTTCTCAAGGATTATAGGTAACAATCTGACACAAATCTTTGAGGTGCTCTGCAGGAATGAAGACCCTCCCACCCAGGTGGAGGATGGTAACTACATACTGACCACAGGCACTTAGACCCCAGACTGGCTGGAACCAGAAGGTTGATGCTTAAGATTCCCGAAATAGCACCCGGACCACCAACCAATCAGAAGAAAGTCCACAATCTGATCATGTACCTCCAAACCCTCACCCTGTATTGCTGCCTTTAAAACCCCTTCCCTGAAAGCCATCAGGGAGCTTGGGTCTTTTGAGCATGAGTTGCCCTTTCTCCTTGGTTGGCACCTGAAGAAAACTTTACCACAACCAATGTCAGTAGATGGGCTTTGCTGATTGCTGGGGGAGGGTACCCACGATCCCTTTGGTAACATCCTGAGGCTTCAGGAAGACTCCTATCTTGGTTGCAAAGGAAAGAAACCAAGTGTGAAGTAGCTTTAGGGGGAAGGGAATTGATGGAAAGGCTCCTCATGGTACGTGAACTACCACAAGGCAGAAAAGCCCACCACACGGAGGTGCCTCTGGGTCTCCTGGGGTGCGGGAAACCCGGTGCCTCCGAGGCTCTCCGTCTCCCTTCTCTGAGACCGCTTCCCTTCCTCCTGGTGTACACTGTTTCCTTCACGGTGACTTTCTGGAAACATGAGCTTCTATGTCTTGCAGACTACCATCCTGGGGAGACAGTGACACCCTCTCCCAATTTTAGTTAGGATAGGCCCCAGGAAAGAATGGGCCAGGTGCCCACCCCGGGTCCCATCAGAGATGTCGTGGTACAGAATGGTGGCTCCTGGGGACCCACGCAGGTGGGAGGGATGGGCTAGAAGCTGGGGAGCAGGTCCCATAAAGAGACAGGGCCCCTGGGAAAACAACCCCAGAGGCCCTTTGGCCCCGTTCACCGACCAAGCCCACTCCTGTCTTGAGGCCGTGCCCACAAGTAGCCCCGGGTGGTTCCTGGACGTCTCTGCCACCTATGCCCCCTCCTCAGCACTGCTTTTCCTCCGCTGCCATCAACACCGTCCCCACCGCCTGCCACACTAGAAAGGCGACTTCCCCTCCCGACCATAAGCTCCCAGAGGACACGGCACATAAAAGGCACTCACTGCTGTTGATAAATGAGTGAAGGACAAAGGTCATATCGCCTCACGGCCCTGATGAGAATCCTCCCGGGGCTCTGATGGCCCACAGCACACAGGGCATGCTCTCTGGCTGCCATAAGGGTCAGTGGGGATCTACCCCGTTCCTACCTCGCCAGCACCTCCCTGCCCATCCTCTGGGCACCCTCTGATCCTAGTGACCTCCACCCTTCACGGCTCATGTCAGGAATCTCCGAACCTCAGTTTCTTCGCCCACGTGGGCCGGCTGCGCGCGCTTTCTTCTTCTGAGCACCCACCCTTCACGGCTGGGAACACACACCCCAGCCTCTGATCTTCGCTAGAACCTTGTCCTGCAGTGACATGATTTGCGTCTACGTCTCCCTCCCCCATGGCGACCGGAGGCGGCTCCTTGAGGACACGTGCGGGTGCTCTGGGACAGCTGGAGGAATGACCACGGCTTCCTTTTTGACGAGATTTGGGTCTCATCACCCCCTTTATCAACAGTCCCCTGAGCGAGGGGCCACAGGGGGCTGTCTCCCTCATTGGACCATGGACGTGTGCAGGCCAGTGCCCTGCACGTGGGTGGTGTCAAGGACACCTGCTGAGTGAGTAGACGCAGATGAAGGACGCAGTTGACGTTGTGGGGTAGAGCGCTGGGCCATTTGCTCTGAACCCACAGGCAGGGGCGTTTGGGGGAGGGCAGATGCCTGAACCCTGGACCTGGCTGGGCAGAGTCTGGCTGTGTCACTTTGGCTAGAGACCTACCTCCTTTCTGGGTGCAGTTCCTCCTTCTGTCAAATGGGGTGGAGGTGCCGGGGCTGCTATGGGTCCCCCAGCTCTAGGGCCATCAGGGCGAGGCCAGCCTCTGCTTCCCCAGCAAGTCCAGGCAGCAACGGTCTTCCCTGCTGACCAAGCTAGCTACGATTTACCACGGTCTGGGGCGCTGGGGCCGTGAGGAAGGGTGTCCAGCCTGCGTCCATGCTGCCCGAGAGAGGGCCCAGCATGCTGGCCCACCACCATCCTGAGGGCGCCCCTCCGTGGGGCTCTGCTCTGCCCTCAGCTCCCAGGCTCCACGGGAGGCCCTGGGGGACAGCGCGAGGAGAGAGGGGCTCTGCTCCTCCGGGGGCGGGCAGGTGAGAGGATGAGGGCAGGGCTGGGATGCCTGGCTGCCCAGGCTGCAGAAGCACCCAGAAACCTCGTCATCCAAATACCAAACCACTGGACCCTCACCATTTCCCTTCCAGATAGCTGGTTCTAGAAGGCTCTGGGGCAGGAGCAGAGAGGGAACGGTGGCCTCTGGGATGTCTTGGGGGTGGCAGGATGGACAGACCGAAGGCTGGTCAAGGTGCTGGAGGAGGAGAGAAGGGAATTCAGGGCGGGCACAGTGATGTCTCTTTTGTCCCCCTCTGGCACCCGGCCCAGCGCTGGGGGGATGTGAGCCACGGCCGGCCGGTGGCCGAGACCGAGGCAGCCAGGCCCCGTCACCACTCCAGCCATGGCGAAGCCCTCCTACAAGGTGCTCCATTGAAGTTTCCTTTGAAGAAAATTCACTGAAATCAGATCAAGTGAGCTTGTTAATACCAACACCCCAGGAATCAGCCTGGTGGAACTGGGACCTTGGTCCCCGTGGGGTTTTAACCCTAGTTTCTGGCGGCTCCTGGGGAAGCCAACCTGTGTTTCTCTAGTCTGCTGGGGAAACTAGAAGCACAGGCTTAGGTCAAACCAGCCGGGGAGAGAGCCGAGTGCGGTGGCCTCCCACCTCTGCCCCCGGGTCCCCAAGGATCACTTGGTGCTCAGGCAGATAGCAGGCAGTCGACTGAGCCAGGCCAGGGCCACCAGGAGCACACCTGCCCCTCTCTGGTCAGGAAGGCTGGTCTGGGGGCCCCTCCCCTCGGGCAGGCCCCCAGGTTCCCTTGCTGCTGCCAGGGCACAGGATCGGGACAGGAGATGCTGGGGTGCTGGCCCCCCCTAAGGAAGGTGGACAGGGCCACCCAGAGCTCCAGCCTTGGAAGTGGGGGTGGGCGGCACAGGGCCCAAGCCCCCGTCCTGGGGCCATGGAGGGCGGCAGCCGGCAGAGAGGAAGTGCTGGGGTGGGGATGGACACGGCTCCATGCGGCGCGGTGACGGGTGAGCCTGCCGTCTTGCATACTAATTCCATTTCTAATCAGCCAGAATGAGGCGCTGGCATCAATCTGCCACGCGGCCAGCTCTGTGAATCATCCTGGAACTGCCGGGAAGGCTCCCAAGGGTGGCAACCCCAGCTCAGCTGTGACGGGTGGAGCCCGGGCCAGGTCCCCCGTCCTGGGTCCAAGGGGCACCCCACTACCCTGGCCACCCCGGTGCCCCACACACCAGGCAGCACTCACACTTGATTTTATTCCATGACTCTGATTTACTGAAAACCCCTGGTTTTCCGGGCACGGGAGGGCAGTGGGTAACCTGGCAGAAGGGGCGCTGGCCTCCCAGGAGGACCAGGTCTAGCTCTGCGCTGCTGAGCACCGGCCAGCCCGCAGCCTTCCATCCAGCCCCACCCTCCCCCTCCAGTTTGAAAACCAAGCTGCAAAAATGAAACAATGAAAAAATAAAAACAAAACCCTGAGTTGTTAAAAACCAAATTAAGAATCCCCGTTGGTGCCCGAAGTTTCTATTCCTAATGGGAGTGGGGGAGGGGTGGGCCGGCTGGCGGCTTCAGTCCTGTTCCTCCGCGAGGTCCTGGCCGCCCTGCTCGTCCTGCCAGTCTAGCAGGCCCTCGGTGCCGGGTCGCTTCAGGATGGCGCTGTACTTGAGGGCCGTGGCCTCTGCCCGCAGCACCACCTCCACCAGGCTGAAGATGCTGACGACCTGAGGCAGAGCAGAGCCCAGCAGGGGACGCGGGTGCCGGTGAGGGGGCGGCCCGGGGGGCTGTCCACCCAGCCGGGCCCCGGGGCCCCTCGCTCTGCCTCCCTAGGCCTCCACTGGCTCATCTGTAAGCGGAGCTTGTTCAGGGCTGAGGCCGTGGGGTCCCGGTGCGAAGCAGAGGAGCCACGCGCTGCTGTGGGCAATGCCTGCTGGGGCCGCTCAGCGCCAGAGAGAAACCACTGGGGTCCGGGTCTGCTCTTCGAGGCATGTCGTAGGTAAAAAGCTGTTTCCTTGGGTCGGAGGTCTACAGCGTTCATCAGGTTCTCAAAAGGACACCCGAAGTTAGGGGCCCTGCTTTAGGGAGGTGGGCAGAGGCCGCTGCCTCTCCCCAGGGTGGGTGATTCTGGGGAAGGAAGGTGCTGCCAGGAGGCTAGGCCCAAGGAGTGGTGACGGGGAGCCGCTGCTGGCCTTGCTGGGTAGAGCCGGGAGCCGGGGGTAGGGGGAGCCCAGGAGGGGAGGCCCGGGGAGTGCGCCCAGGAGGCAGGAGGGGGCTCGCCAAGAGTGGGGTGGACGGGAACCCAGTGGCGCTCCGGAAAAGCTGCCCCACCCCCGGGTCTGACCTGCTGCGCCGGCCCCTGCTCCGCGTCCTCAGGCTCCCAGACAAGCGTGAGCTCCGGCTTCTTGCCCACCTTCTGGAAATGGTATGACTGCAGTGGCAGCGCCTGGGGGTGCACACACCTGCATCTCAGGACCCGGGCTCTAGGCGCCGCCTCTTAATCTCTGACCCTGCAAGGCCCCCAGTGCTTGGAAGCAGCCCCTCGCCTTGGCCCACCTCTGACTGGCCTCAAGGGAGCTCCCTGCCCTGCTGCCTGACAGTGGCTGCTTGACCTTTGACGGGGGGTGGCCCGCACCCTCGCCTCTTGCCTCTGGCCAGCTTCTGGGCGGCCTTGAGAGGCCACCTTCACTGAGGGGCGGGGGCCGGGGGGCACCGGTGGCTCCACGTGTTATTCGGGGCAGGTGGTGGGTCTGTCCTGCCCCATCAGGGACCATGCCTGTAGGGTCGAGGTGGACCGGGCACCTGAGGCTGGAGGGCTGCCGCCCCTACCGGCCCTGGGTCTGTTAGCACAGACTGAGGGCTGCGTTGTGAGCAGAGGCGATCTAGACCTGAACTCCATGCTGTTCAGTGAGCTTCAGGACGAGAGCCTGGCTTGATTCCTGCTGACTCCATTCTGTCTCTCCTGCTTTAATCCATTTCATTCATACCATGTTTATTCCACACTACGTGCCGCGTTCTGCACTCCCCAAGGTCCTCTGGGTGTTGGGAAATTCAAAGCCAAGGTCGGGGGCCAGGTGGTGACTCACTAACCACAAGGTCAGCTGGAACAGGTCCCTCAGGTGGCATTAGACTGGCACCAAGTACCCTTGGAAAGAACCTCGAATGAAGCACCCCCCAGGGCAGGACCAGGGCAAGGGCTAGCCTCTTCCTGCTTTTCAGGGGACACAGCTTCCAGAGTGGCCACGGACCATTCTCTTTGGTCTTTCCTTCCCCTATGTTCCTTTAAAAAATCTCCCAAAGCCTGCCTACCCTGCTTCCTATACTGGTTATGGATGGACCTGATCTCTGGTTGCTCAAGTCCTTGGGAAAGAGGCCCAAGCCTGACCCTCGGCCTGGATCCCTGATCCCAGGCAGGCACGGCTGGCTGTCTCGGCAGGACCCATCGGGTGAACTTGGTGCCAGTACAACCCACAGCTGAGCGAGGGGCGCAGTGTCACTGCTCGTGTGTCTACCAAGGGCTGTTTCCCCAGATGCTGGGGAAACAGGGAGGAGACCCAGCAGTGGGAACAGGGACAGGCAGGTGGGAAGGGAATGTGCTAAGTGGACGCGGCTCGGTGCTCCCTCTGCCTGCCCAGAACACCCCTAACCTTGGCCCTGGCAGCCCCCGGTACTCACATTACAGTAGATGCGCTTCTGTACCCCGTAGCGCAGCACCAGCACGTCGAAGGCTTGGCTCAGGACGCCCATCACCATGGCTTCCGACTCCAGCGGGCCGCTCTCCTGCAGGGCAGGGCTCCAGCCAAGGCTCGGCCAGGGGATGCAGTTTCCCCCCAGGGCCCACCCCAGCTGCCAAAGGCCCCGGACTCCTGGAGCCCTCCCTGTGAGCAGGAGCCCTGGCGGGAAGGTGGGGTGGAGGGAAGGGGAGGGATGACAGGCTGGTGGCCTCACCTTGACCAGGATGGCAAAGAAGAGGCTGGTGCTGAGCTCCTGCACACGCTTGGAAGCCATGCGGCGGTCATTGCAGTGGTCAGCCTGCTTCTGCAGGGCATCGGGCTCCACATCTGGAAGCTCCCCGTAGCCTAGGCAGAGAGTGGTCGGGTGCCCACTGGCGGGTGCTATGTGTGTGCCGTCCTTGGCGGGGTTCTGGGCAGCATGGTGCCCCTGGCCCGGGTCAGATGGGGCCTGGGAGCCCTGCGCAGAGCTGAGGCCTCCCTGATGCCCAGCGTGGGAGGGCCGAGAAAGGGGGGCTTGCCACGGTGAGGGCCCTCGAGCCCCTAGCACACGCTCACAGGGGAGGTTCTGGCACAGGCTCCCCTACTGCTTGGGCTGCCCACCCCTTGGGGCCTTCACAGTCATGGCAGTGTGGCCTCTGGCCGCCGGGCACCCACTCTGGGTGGGGGGAGTAGCCCTTAGCTGGGCACAGGCTGGCACCGCCCCCTGTGCTGCACCCCTTACCCAGCGTGGCGGCCAGGAGGCGATGCACCAAGACGTCCGCGAAGCGGCGGATGGGCGAGGTGAAGTGCGTGTAGAGCGGCACATTGAGGGCGTAGTGGCGGAACTGCGCCTGGTCCTGCAGCACCCCCGAGCAGAAGTACAAGGCCATCTGGGGAGGTGGGGCGGACCTCAGAGCCTGGCCAGGCTGGGTGCGGGCTGGGTGTGCTCCACGAGCCGGGGAGACTCAGAGCCTCACGAGGGGCGGTCTTGGGGGCGTGGACCCACCTGCCAAGCTGCGGGCAGCTGAGCAAAGCCGGGCAGGCCCGAGGATGTCAGGAGCTGTTCTGTGTGAGGGGACCCCTGGGGCTGCCATGAGACTGGGCGGAGCCGTGGGTGCCCTTGCCCCTCTCCTGCTGAAGGCAAGGGTAGGTCTTGCCCAGAGCCCCTCTGCCAATGACCGGAAGTGGAGTGGGCTGGGGGGAGAGGCTGTGTGTTTCTTGCTGGGAACCCTTAAGATGCTGAAGGGACTCCTCCCTCAGAGCCCTGGGGGACCTGCCACCAAAGCCCTCGGGGAGGGGAGGGGAGGGGAGACCCTGTGCTGAAGTCAGAGGACAGGGGGGAGGGGCTGGAACTCATCCTCCTCCACAGCCGGTCACTGCTGAGTCTTAAGGGCTGTTACTGCCAGGAACCAGGAGGAGGGATCGTTTCTGGCTGGCCCCCTCCCCAGGACAGGGCTGGGGGAACTACACTGAAATGGGGAGCAGGAGAGAAAGCCCGTGGGCCTGCCGGACCGGGGGCTGCAGGACTTCGCCAGGACACAAAGCCCAACACCACCATGTGGCCAGAGCGGGAGGTAGGAGAGAAGGTCCAGGATGCCCTCCACCCAGAGCAAAACGGGCGCCTGGCTCTTCCTCTCTGGCCCTGGTCCAGTCTTTGGTCTTAGCCGACCTTCTGCCCTCTAGTCCTCATCCCTGCCCTGCTGAAGGCCACGCCTGCACCCCAGCACCTCTGTGCCCCCAATACTCCACCTCTCACCAGCCAAGGGAGGCAGTGGTTGGCCAGTCTCCCAGTCTCAGCCCTTCTTGCCCCTGACAACCTGTCCTGAGACCGAGACCCAGAGCTCTGAGTTCAAAAGGCCCTCCTGCAGGGCAGGAGTTAGGACTGTGGCCCAAGGAGAGACGCTGAGCTTCTCTAGGGGCCCAGCAAACAGCCTGGCCCGCACGGTGCAGCAGTGCTGAGAGCCTTGGCCACGGGCCCTGAAGCCGCTTGCCCTGCGCTCCCCGAGTTCTCAGGGCTGGGGATTCAGGACCCGCGGCTGCCTGGGAGCAAGTGACCGGGTTCCTCTGCCAGGGCCAAAGTCACACCCTCGTGTGTTCGCTCGCTCCCTCCCTTGCCGCTTGCTCACCCTCACACCCTCCCGTGTGTTCGCACAAATGGACAGCCGGCTCCGGTTACTCTGTGCATGACGGCCTTGGAATCCAGGACGCAGCTGGCGGTGCCCTGCTCGGCTACCCAGCTCTGCTTCCCTTCCAGCTCCCGCTGGGCCCTGGGTTACATCTCGGGTAAGTCACTGGGGGAGGGAGCAGCCTCCACTGTGAGCCATGTTTGGACCTTGTTCTCAGAAGTGGCCCAGTTCCCCAGATGAGCTGGGCTGAGGAGGGCAGGGGGCCCCGGCTCCCTTCCTGGGTGGCGAAGGCACCTCTGGGCAGCGTGGGATGGCTGAGGGCCCAGAACTGGGACACAGACAGGGAACCAGGCACCACAGTCACCCTGGTCACTCCCTCACATCAGATCCCCAGGCAAAGGCTGGCCTCTGAGGTTGCTGGCAGGCAAGGCCAGGAGAAGTCGGGTCTTTTTCAGGCTCTGGGTGACTCAGGAGAGGGCTCCTTTCCTTGGACCTCCGGGGCTGGGTTGGCCTTTAGAGGTGGATGGCTTCCAGAGGCTGAGGGCAGGGAACGGCAGCTTCATCGGGCCTGTATGTGGTGTCAAGCCCAGTGGCCAGAGACACACGCCCCCCTCTCCATGGCGGGTGCTTTACAGTGCTTGGTGCGGGACAGACATCGGTGACTGGGGGCAGGGTAACGGCCGCCAGACCCAGACGGACCTGACGGTCCCATTCCTGGCAGAGCTGTAAGGTCTCAGAAAACAAGTCGGTTGCAACCAGCTGAGACGATCTGGTTCTTGGGAAACAGACTGAATCTGCCCAGTGACCGAGCCCCTGAACGACGGTCTATCACTGCTCCCAGGCCGGGCTGCGGCCCACCGCTGGACCCATTAGCACCCACAGCTCCCGCTGACCTGACAGTCCACGGCGGCGGCTCCTTCCCAAGATGCTCAGCCCCACAGGGGCTGGAGCACGGCCTTGGAGAGCTGCGACTGGCTGCCAGGAGCAAGCCCACCGTCTGCCTCCCAGGTGGCCGGCCTGTCCTCTAGCTGCAGACACAGCCTCACGGCCTCACTTCCCCCTCTCCCAACCGGTTGCGACAGGGAGATTTCTCTGCCCGGGACCCACAAGCCACAGTGGGGGCTAAGGACCGGCCCCTGTGCAGGCTACTGCGGGAGACCTCTCTCTCCCCTCCAGGGTTCCCATCTGACCATGAGTTGCTGACCAGGCCCCATTCCCTTGCCCGAGCTGGTCTGGTGTGTGGGGTCCGGGCCCTGGAGTCTTGGGACGTGCCCTGGCGTGGCTCCCCGCCTGCTGCCAGGAAGCAGAGCCCCAGAGGCCATGCAGGGGGGCAGGGGGGCAGCAGGGCAGCAGGGCTTGAAATGTCTCCTCTAACTGAGCCCACAGGCAAGTCTGGGCAGGAGGCAGCAGGCCAAGCTCAGGAGCCCAGGGACTTCCTGTGCTGGGTGTTGCCGGGGGGCACCCTCCCCAAACCTCCCCTAAGGTTCTCCGAGCCCGCGGAGGCATGGGTGCTCCCAGGTGAAGGCGGAGGATGGAGGACTGGCCCTTCCTTACCTGCATGGGCCGGGAGCACATGTTGGTGAGCACCTCCTTCCGGGCCAGTGAGTACTTGTCATCTCCAAATGTCTCCATCAGACTTTTCTGGAAGGAACCCATGTGATACGCAGTCAGGCTTGGGGAGAGGCTCTGGGGCCCCATCACCCACTGATCATCTGGCCCTGGGGAGGAAAGGTCAGCCGAGGGGCCCAGCCCTGTTCAGATGGCCATGGGTGGGGTGCAGGGGGGCCGGCAGCCCCCAGACTGTGTCCCACACTGGGTCTGCCTCGAGGGTCCTGGCTTGAGGTCAGTCCTTCTATGTCCAGCTGGCTGGCCTGGACGGGCTGGTTTACCCCAGGCCTGGAGCACAGATGGGGACAGTCTCCCTCCTGTGCAGTGCGAGCCGAGGCCATGGATTCCTGAGCCCCATGCTGCTCAGTTCCAGGTGGGGAGCATCTGATACCCCTTCCCGTGAAAAACAGCCTCTGGCTTCCAATAATCCCAGCCCCTACGGAAGCCTCTGGGTCCGAGCCCGGCCCATCCCTGGCCACAGGACCCCTGCCCACAGCTGAGCCCTGAGGGGACTCCCTCGGTCTCCCGGGCTCCCTCCCAGGCCCTGTGAGCTGCAGGCTTTGTCCCCAGGCCCTCCCCTCTCCCTTGGGGTGGGGGTGGGGTCTGGCTAAAGGGTAACGGACCCTGGTGGGATGCAGAGGCCTTCTTCCTCCTTCCCTAAGCAGGGCCTCCCCGGCCCCTGTGCTCCCAGCACTCACATTGAGGGCCCCTGCAGAGCTGAAGTCCATGGGCAGCCCCATCTGGCCACAGAATTCCACCAGGTCGTTGAGCATCTTGGTCTGGGGTGGGGGGTGCCGCCGTAGCAGGGCTTGCTCGGGGAAGGTGCAGTGGATCTTGCGGGCCACAGCCATGTTGGCCAAGAGCATGAACTCTTCCACGAGCCTGCAGTGGGGAGGGACCGCGGGGGTCGTTCTTTCCTGCTTCTCTGCTAAGCTGGCTCTCTTGCACCCCTGTGTCAGCTTCAAGCTGCCCCCCCACCCCCGGCATCCAATCTACTTTGCTCCTGCAAGTTGCTTCCCCCTCATTCCTCGGCTCATGCCCCTCACGGCCCTAACCAGTCTGTACTCTTCCCTGCTGATGTGTTAGCTCGTGTGCTGGGTCTCCTACTAGATGGGGATCCTGGACAGCAGGGATGGTGCCTGTCTTATTCCCCCCTGTAGCCCTGGTGCTTGGGACCTCACCTGACCCAGAGAAGGTGCTCAGTAAAGATCTCTGCTGAATGACTAAGCTTCCCAGAACACTGGGGGGCACGTCCAGCTGTAAAAAAACACTATGCCCGGGCAGGCCATGAGGAGTCAGAGGACTCTGCACGGGGCTGTGTAGAGGCGGGCGCGCAGACCCAGAGCCCCCCGTTCCCAGGAGTACGTGGCTTCTTTTCCCCCCTGGAAAGATGAGTGTCTCTGAGGATGAACAGGAGAGTCACAGAGGGCAAGAGGAAAGCCGTGCGTTTTGGGACAAGACAAAGGCGTTGCTGAGGTGTTCAAACCACAGAGCCATCCTTCTAGGAGTCAACGCTCCAGGCCTGCATCGCCCGAGCGTGATTAGGGTCCACGAGTGTGAATGGATGTGGCTCCAAAGCAGGCCAAGAGTCACAGGGAGCAGCAGGGACTGACGGGGGAGGGCAGAAGTGTGCCAAAGCGCAGGAGTCAGGCAGAGGGGGACGCCGCATCACCGCGCTGAGCTCAGCACCACCCTCAGCCCCGCGATCTGGGGCAGGAAGCCCACGTGCTGCTGTCCCGCCCAGGGCGCCCGCAGAGGACAAGTGGATCAGGCACGTGTACGAGAGCTGAAGCCTCCAGGAAGGGGCGTGGGTGTGGGCTGGTGCCCTACGTGGGGAAAGCCTCCTCCCTTGGGGAGGCTCTTGGGGCCTTGCCCAGCTTAGGGGAGCCTCTTCCCAGCCTTGAACCTGAAGCTCTAGGTTGTAGGTCAAGCCCATGTTTCTCCCACAGAGGCAGGAGAGGTCAGGGAGGAAGCTCTGGCAGGCCTGGCAGCAGCTGGGGGCCCGAAATGAACGTCCCCTTCTGGAGGTGTGGGCAGTGCTTGGGGTTAGCCTCGTCCCCTCCCCAAGCTCTTGGGAAGAAACAGCCAGTGGGGGGACAAGAGCGTGAGTGGGCAGAGCCCCGCCTTCCCCAGGCTAGGCCTCTACGCTGAGGGGTGGCTCTGGTCTGCCGGGCTGTCGCCCAGAGCACGTCTGTCTCCCTGCAAAGCCCACCTTGTGAAGAAGAAGGGCTGTGGAATGCCCCACGGCAGGCACCACCAGGACCTGGCCTGGACCTCGGGAGGAGGCCCACCCATGGCCTGCACTCCTAGCTCCTGTGTGGGCACCGTGGTGGGCCGAGCCCCAGCCTACCACCCACCATGGGGAAGGGCTTGGGTGAAGGACTGCAAGGGTCAGGTCTCAGTGGCCCTTCCGCCATGCAGGAGGCCTGTGTGTAGAATGAGTTTCTTCATTCCCCGCTGGGTTGCAGCAACAGTCTTTTAAGCGGCCATCCTGCCTCCCACCCCAAAACCTGTCCTTGAGCATATCACTTCCTGCTAAACCCCTCGAGTTCATGCGCTGGAACCCGACCACCAAACCTCCTGAGCGAGGCCTACATCCTAGCCCCAGCATGTTCTTGCTGTAGGACCCTGCACAAGTCACCGACCTTTTCTGTTCTATTTTCTTGAACGTGGAACAGGGATAATAATAGCACGTGCTTTGCAGAGTGGCTGTGCAAACCAACAGGAGAAAAACATGTTTCAAGGGCAGACCCTGTGCCTGGCATGACGTCAGCCTCAAGACACGGGAGGTGCTGGGAATTCCCTGGCGGTCCAGTGGTTAGGACTCCGCACTTTCACTGCCGATGGCTTCGGTTCAATCCCTGGTCCTTGGGGAGCTAAGGTCCTGCAAGCCGCGTGGTGCCCTGTGATTTCCATCCCTGCCATTTGTCACCCTCCTCTGACCTTTCCATGTCTTCCCTGAAGGGCATCTCCATCCCTCCTGGGCACTTACTGCCTGATTAGTTACCTGGCAACAAGGGTCAGCCTGTCTAGGGCCACCTGTGTCACAGTCTAGCACCATTTGACTCTTCACATTTGGTTTTCATATTTAGATCTTGTCAACTCGAGAGGAGTCTCAAGTCCTGCTAGATTGATGTCTGACTTGATGTCTGCCTGCTGTTGGTCAGACCCTGCAGAACATCATCACGTAAACGCTTCAGATGCACAATTCAGCCACTCATTTGTTGCCTACTCAGCACACGTGACTGTGCCGGGCGGTTCCAGACTTGTCTCCCCATGCAGTCCCAGTATCACTGTGGGCCGGGGGCACACAGGCTGCTCCTTGGAGCCCTGCGGTCTAGTTCAGCTTCAGGCTTGGGCAAGGAGGGAGCACCTGTAACCTTGGGGCTGACCCTGAGCTGCGTTTTGCAAGCGTGGCCAGCAGGGGACAGCATGGCCCCATAGGAGGGTTATGTGAGCTCAGGCTAGGGCAGGGCAAGCAGCAGCGCAGGGCTGGAGGGGCGGGGGCTCCAGCCTGTGTCCCGCCCTCTCTAACCTCACCCCCACCCCTCGGGTCAAAGGAACTGAATGTTCAGGGAGCCGCCTAATGAGCTGTGTTCTAGCTCCTATTTCCTGCAGGGGCTCTCCCGCCTCAGATCTCATATAAGGTGGAGAACACAGGGAAGGGACAGCAGGGTGGAACTGATACCCGAAGCCCCAGGCAGTGATAACAGTCCTCAGTCAAGCTGCTTCTCCAGCGACCCCCTGTACGGTCCCACGAGTCACCTGAGGCTGGTGAGAGAAAAACAAGTGTGCTCCTGTTACCTTGAAAGTCTTGCGAAGCTTTGGTCGCAGGGGCTGACCTTGGACAGGCCCCTTCGTACCTCTGGGGGCTCCACATCCGTGAGTGTCTCAGCCCGCCCCTCAGGACAGGGGGCCGGAGTTAAGAGGGCAGCCTCCCTCCAAGACAGTTCAGAGATACAGCCCATGCCTCCCAGAAAAATGTCAGTGTCACCTAACAGGGAGGTGGCACAGCAGTAAGCCCGATCCCTCGGTGCTGCCACACAGCTCATTAGTGTCCTAGGATAGCTGCAGGGACCGTCTCTCCACAACCTGTCCGCAAAGTCCTTCTTACACCCCCAGGTGGGGGGCGGGGCGGGGAGGAAGTGCAAGCCTGTGGGCGGGAGAAAGCAGGACAGCGCCTGGAGCCCGAGCCCATCCAGCCCTGGGGTGCCTGGGAGGGTGCAGCAACGATGGCCCAGGTCCCCCCACGCGGCGTGGCAACAGGAAGGCCAAGGGAAAGGCAAGCGATCAGCAGCCAGATTGCAATGAGTTCAGGATTCACCGTCAGAAACGGGGCCGGGCATCCGGAAGGGGAGCCGGGCTGGCCAGTACTGGGGCGGGGGTAGGTGGGTGTCGCTGCTCTCATCTGGGCCTGCACAGGGGCCCGCTCCTTCGGGGCTCCACAGGTCCTCCTCACGGGTCAGTTCCCGGACAGGCCAGCAGGGGGCGCCCAGCATCTTCCTGCCGCAGGACCTGGGACGTGGCAGGCGCAGCTTAGAACCCAGCAACTTCTGGGCAGGAAAGAGCCTTACTTTATAAACTGCAGCCCTGCGGCCCAAGGTCCAGGGGTCTCTGGGCTCCCATTCAGTGTGTTTTTCCTTGGCCAAAGCCAGCTCTGGGGCTGAAGGCTTTGCTCAGTCAGGGAGAGTGAACAGCGCTCTGAGGGGAGGCAGGCTGATTAGAAGAGGTGCTCCCACAGCTGACCGGTCAGCAAGCACCCCTTCACCCTGATCTCCTCCTGCCTCTGAGGGGCAGAGCTGCATGCCCAGGCCCTCAGAGATGCTCCAAGCTGTCCTGGGTGGTTAGGATGTCCTCTGAGAGCGAACTGCACATACTAACTGGGGTGTGAAACCCAAGTCGGGATGGAGCCCTGCACATTGCCCTGGCCTCAGACTTGCTCCCTGGTCTGGGTACCTGCCCTGATCATAACCCAGCCCCCGCCCCAGCGCGGCACAGGCATGAGCTCACTCCCCTCTGCAGGGGAGGGGGACGGGAGCTGGATCTCAGCAACTGCCTGACAACTGCTCTAAATAGGGCTCAGGAATGGCCACCAGCCAGGATCACCTTCCAGAACCGCAAGCCAAATCCTCAGAGCTGGGGCCTTGGTCTCAGGCCTGGCATCTGCTGAGCATCTGGAGCTCAGTGCCACCAGGGGCCCCATGACCCTGGAGGGCTGGGCCGGCTCTGCTGTGACAGACAGATGAAGGTCTAGCCAGGGGGCCGTGCCAGGATGCAAGCTCGGCAGCACTAACTCCGCAGCACCCCACCTACCTGTGCTCTGGGCCTCCAGGTGCTGGAGGGAAGGCTTCTCATCCCAGGGAGGAGGTGAGCAAGCCTAGAGGCCTCAGAGTCCCTCACCTGCTATGGCAGATGGCAGGTAAAGACCACAGGCAAGCTACACACAAGTACACACGCTCCTCACGCGGCAGAGATGCCTTGTCTAGAATGGTATATGCCAGACTGTGTTAACGTTACTTACTTAACAAAAAAGTATAGATATATATGAAATGCTAGGGCCTTAATTCATGTGATTTTTTTATTATAGGACATCCCTTTGCCTTTAAGATGCTAACATGCATCAGGATTTGGTGAGAAGGAGCTACTGGGATGCGGCACTTACTGCTCACTGATGGTTGAAACTGTTTGTGTCACATCTTAAAGGATGATGTTTGGGAAAGGCCGCTCTACCTGACAGTGGTGAGGCAGTGGCTAAAAGAGAAATGGGCTAAAATGTCTGCCTCTTCGGAGGAAGGCTGCCCACCCTTGTCCATGAAGAAACTGGGTGTGTCTGTGGCCACAGGAGGCCCTCTGGTTGGGTGGCTGGGCATGTCCTATGGTGA